TCACAAGAGCCAGACAAATCGTTTTTAAAGAATTCACACGGCTGCTTGCTCACGTGGGGACAGAGGGAAGCCAGCTCACTAAATGGGAGGCACGCGGAGGGGCAGGGGAGTGACAGAGCCGGGGGACTTACAGCAGAGGAAGATGGCGAGGAGCGGGAGGGCCGAGACGGCCGCCGCGCTGGCGGTGAGGGCCGTCACATCCACCGGCTCCGAGCATCCTTCTTCTGCGGTCGGCAGAAAGGGCCGTCCGAAGCGGGAGGAGAGGAAGGACAGGAGCGAATTGCCACCGTGAAAACGTGCAAAACAATAAAAAAAAATTAAAAAGGATGTGCGTGTGAAAACTAGTTTTGCTTTTGCAAAGATTTCACTTCCCCGAACCCCCCCCCCATTTGCTGGATTTTTTTTTGGGCAGGCCTAACCCCAAACGGCCAAGTTGAAGGGCTACCAGGATCACGCAGCGTGGCCACGTTTTGGCCTCAGCATGACCAGTCCTTGGGGTGGTCCCCACAGCATTCCCTCTCACCGTGGCGGTGGTGGATGTTCCGTAGGAGGAAGCTGGTCGTCAGCACCACCGCAACCACCCCTCCGGGAGCAGCGTAGCCCATCGCGCGCTGCGCTGGCGGGGGGAGAGACAACAGAGTCATGTTGATGGACAAGGTCACGTTGATGGACAGAGTCACGTTGATGGACAGTCATGTTGATGGACAAAGTGATGTTGATACGTGTTATGAGGACACGGGGCCAGGGGTCTCACCCATGGTCTGGTGGGGAATCCGCCAGCCTGGGTTAGCCCAGAAGTGGAAATAGCAGTTTCATTTTAAAAAATAAAGGATGAAATTTGGGGCAAAATAACCCCCCCTTGGACAAGTTTCACCCCCTCCCTACCGCCCGTGGCCAAGGAGCTCACCTGTTTTGCTTTTCAGCTGGATGAGCTTTGGAGGCTGGAAGGTCACGGTGATGGCGACCAGGAAGGTTACCACCATCACGTATGTGAGGGCGATCTCTGGCAATATGATCGCCATGGAAGGGCCTGAAAGAAAACGGGAGGAGGCAGAGCACCAGTTCTTGCGTCTGTCTACCCCCTCCGTCGCGTTGTAGCCCCTCATCACACCCCTTGCCCACCCTCTCCTGACTCCCAGCCTTTTCAACCCGTCCTTGCCAGCGGCCTCGCTATCCCTTGATTGTTTTAACTGTCCTTCTACCGATAACTCCGGGAAAGGGCTCTGGGTAAAGGGGAATAACTGCATTAATGGTATGGATGGGGGTGTAGTCCATATGGTGGCCCAGGCCCCCCCAACTAGCTGGGATGACACCCAGGGGAGAGCCGTGCCGCTCTGGCTGGATTGACCCCCAGCTGCGTGACCCTCCCTCTCCGGGGCAATGCCTTCCTCCCTGACCATGAGACTCTGCCTCTCCCACGAGGTCTTCACCCCTTATGGTTTGCAGAGTGAGGATCCGCAAAGGAGGAGGGTCTGCACAGCACCGCCCCGCGCTCCAACCCCCCCCGCCGCCTACCTTCCTCCCGCATCCAGAGCACCCCGGCGGTGCCGGCCAGGACGGAGGCGATGCACACCAGCCCGCAGGTGTAGGCGCTGAGCCACCTCCAGAGCTCCCCCCCTAGACACCCAGAGCAGCAGGGGGTGACTCCTGTGACCCCTCGTGGTGTCCCGCGCCAGCCCCCAACCCTCCCTCGGGGTGGGACGCAGTCCGACCCCACCTGGGATGCTGTGGGGACCCCACGGGTTTGAGCCGCTCTTTAAGCGTGGGCAGCAGGGAAGGGCTTCCCCCCCCCCCCCGGTACAGTGTATTTTTAAACATACTCTCTTAAAAATGGAGCCTCGTAATAAAAAAAATGCTCCCGAGGAACATTTTTTCCCCGTGAAAGTGCCAGGCAATCACCTCAGCTCTAGACCAAAACTGCCTGGGAAGCGGCACGATCCAGCCTAGCTTGAAAACGGCGGAATCTGCTCCCACCATTAAAAATGTTTGCCGAGGGAAGTTTCCCTACGCTTATAAAGACCTGCCCGGGGCGGCGAAGGCAAAATGTTGGGATGGCTGGAGGGGGAATTAACTGGTCATCAGCTCTTCCCACAGCAAGGCTCCTTGCTCTCCTCCACCGGGCAAGGGGAAGGAGGGCTCGGCTGCCCCCCAGCCGCAGACTCACTTATTCTCAGCTTTTCAGACTGGCAGACGGGGAAAATTAATCCCCATCCCGAGACGGCAGCAAAGACCACAGCGACCACCGCGATCCTCAGCGCGTCCTGCAAGGGAGGGGAGAGGCCTGGGGGAAAAAAAACCATGGAGGCGGGAGTCAGGCCACTGGCAGGACTGGCATGGATGGCTCTGGTGGGCCATGAGGCTCCTCCATCACCGGGACTGGTTCCATTTATTTGCTGGCCGGTGGCCAAATGGGCGTTTTCTGCTGCAGGCTGTGGTCCATGCAATGTCCAACCCGGGAGGGGTGCTGCCCGCCGGCTTCCTGGTCCCCTCCCCACCCACATCCTGCTCACCATCACCTTGGCCAAGGGCCATCACTTGGGGAACCTTCTCCAAGAGGGAAGAGCCAACCTCCCGCCGCCCACCCTGCCAAGATCTGGGCCTCGGTGCTATTGCTCTCCTCCCCAGGGAAGGGGGGAGAGCAGGGAGAGCGGTGGGGGGTGAGACCCCAGCAGCCATCACCTGCAATGGTGACGTTCAGGGAGGTTTCTTGCCAGCTTATCTCGTTGCTGGCGTTGCAGGAGTAGGAGCCGCAGTCCGACTTCTTCGCCGCCCTCAGGTACAAAACGCTGAGGCTGTCAGAGAGCTGGAAACCTCTGTCCAGGGGAAGGGGCTGCCCATCCTTCTTCCAGGTGATGGTGTCCACCTTGCCGTCAGCCACATCGCAGAGCACCTCACCGGTGGCCTGGGCCACCAGAGCACGGCTCCGGAGCCGGGGGCGAGACACGGGCTCTGGAAAGGGGACAGAAACACCAGTGCATCTCTCAGCAATGACCTGGAGCATCCGTGATGGGGGCCCGGGCTGACATCGTCACCGCCACATCCTCGAGTCTGCAACGGTGCAATCGCAGGTGCCTTTCCCTTGGAAAGTCCCGCGCTGCACGGGGCTGCTGTGCTTCCCAGGCTTGGCCTGTTGTTTTTTTTTTTAATTTCTAGCCGAGCCAATTCTTTTATTGTGTTTGGGTAAACACAGGACATTTTAAACTGTGCTGGGAAACGAGAAAAACAACAAAGACAAGGGTGCAGATGTCCTTGAGATTGGTGCGTGGTGGCCAGGGGCCCCGGGTGGCCAAGAGCTGCGGTAGCGTCATGGAAGCCGCGTTACTATGGCAGAGAGAGGAGAAGGCGGAGGCAAATGAAGGGAATTG